ATAAAAACAAACCGGTCATCTCTGAGTGCATGCTTAGGACTGCCATTGGCAAAGTTCTTGTGAATCCATCTATCCATCCATCCATTTTCTACCGCTTATCAGGTCACGGGGGCAACAGCTTTAGGAGGGAAGCCCAGACTTCCCTCTCCCCAGCCACTTCTTCTAGCTCTTCCCGGGGGATACCAAGGCGTTCCCAGGCCAGCCGGGAGACATAGTCTCTCCAGCGTGTCCTGGGTCGTCCCCAGGGCCTCCTGCTGGTGGGACGTGGCCGGAACACCTCGCCAGGGAGGCGTCCAGGAGACATCCTAATCAGATGCCTGAGCCACTTCATCCAGCTCCTCTCGACGTGGAGAAGTGGCTCGACTCTGAGCCCCTCCCGGATGACTGAGCTTCCCACCTTATCTATAAGGGAGAGCCCGGACACCCTGCGGAAGAAACTCATATTGACCGCTTGTATCCGGGATCTCGTTCTTTGCGTCACGACCCTTCTTGCGAATCCTTGTGATGAAGTCACAAACACGCTCATTCACACACATGTGCATCTTTGCTCCAGGGGTCCCAAGAAAACAGAAGACTATGGAGAATCATCAGAAGATGCTGGAAAGTGCCCTCTAGCTGATCTCGTATTCGTACGCCTAGAGGAGCCTGAAGGCAGTTCCATCACACAAACACACACACCTGCACAAATCAATAGACTCACACATATACACACAAAAATTCACCCACCTACGTCTGTTCCGGCTGTTTTTTTTACATGCACCCTGAATCCATTTCCTCATGTTTGCTAACGCAGACACAATGCCCTTTCTCACCTGTCAGGTACTATGTCGAAAAGAGACACCGCGGTACAATTTAAGGAGTCACACGCCAGGATTCGCTGCCCACTTCCGTCTCACCTGGCACAAAAGGTGCTTTAACAACCATCATGCACATTGCGTAGGATGCAGGGGGAACAATCGCCGACTGCCAAGAAATGAAAAGCGCTAAGTGGAAGTTCTTGGAAATAAACAGGCAAAATCTACCCGAAAGGCATCAAATTCCTGAAGAAATTGGCATGACTGCTGGCAGCTGCCATTTGTTTGCCTCTGTTGAAGTTAGCATGAGCCCTGCGGAACAAATGATCAACCACCATGAATAACATTTAGAATTTAACACTTTACATATCGGACATCCATCCATCCATTTTCTTAACTGCTTATCCACTTCATAGTCATGGGTGAACTCGAGCCTCTACTTTCTACATCAGGGGTTTCAAATTCGTTTTTGTCATGGGCCACTTTGGAGTTACGTCTTCCCTCGGAGTGCCTTTCTAACAGTGAAACCGAACAAATGTTTAATCATCTCATCGTTTTATTACTTGTACACAACAAACTGATGCATGACTAGTTTTGAAATCAGACAAGTCAACTATTTTTTTGTTGTTTGTTCATGTATTGTTCATGTGAGTGTCAACAGGGTAACTAAATTATTGCAAAACGTCAAGAGTTTTGCAAGGATCATGGAAGCTGACACACATGATTTGCTTTCGTATCGGAGGATGTTTCAAGAGCAGGTTGAAAGTTATGACCGCGGGGATAGGCTCCAGCACGCTTGCGACCCTTTTCAAGAACAGCGGATTTGAAAATGGATGGATTGAATTCCAGATGCAAGTGAATTCAAGATGTCTCGTGGGCCACGAATTGAAAAGTGATTTTTAGACAATGCACATCACGTGTGCATGCTACCTGAGTGGCAAAGACGTACCTTCGAGATGAATTAAAATGGACAAAGATTTTACATAACTACACAGAGATATTTTATGCTGCTAGAGCAAAGAGAGTATATAGTCTGTACTAGAGGATGACACGGGAACAAATTTTCACATCAGTCCAATCCCTATCCCACATGGAAAAATAAATAAATCCAGCCCCAGTGAAAACGCTTCCCATTTTGTTCCGCTCCCATTCAGTGTGACTTCTCTGTGGTGTGTCAAATTTACAAGAGATGTATTTTCGCTTTACAGGGACTTTAAACTTCTCCTCTACCTTTGTTAGCACTTTGAATTTGCATATCAAAGAAATCCCAAGGGGACGCACTTTGCATATTTACATTTGATTTGGAACGTTAAATGAACATGTCAAAAACAGTCGTGTTTGTATCTCTCTGAAGGTGCAAAGACTGTCGCTTGTATAATTAGCACCATAACATGTAACATCGCCAAATGAACAAAAGAAGCAGAATTCAAACAACAGCAAGCGGCACCTTTCATATGTTGCCTTTCATTACGCATATTCAAATATTCCCATTTCACCTTTGGACCTCAATGCTTGCTAAATGATAGCTCTATTTGAATAATAAAGACAAAAATATGTATTGTAGGTATGTGCTAATGTTTCTTAGCTAGTAGTGACATTAGGTCTCCTAAATTCCATCAGTTTCACTTCTGAAGGGAGGGGTGGGGTGAATATTTTTAGATTGTTCATGGTTGTGAAAGGAATTTCGGTTCAAGGTCATTTTTTTTTTCTCTGCTTGACAAAAACAATCTGTCTTCTTAACGTCACAGAGTTCAAAGTCACGAAACAGTTAAAGCGATCTGTCATTTTACCTGACAGCGGAACGTCTCCACACTGATATGTTGATCCTCTGAAACCAAATTTAAACTTTTTCTTGTCACATGTTGATGGGGGCAGAAGATGGGGGGGAGGACTCGGAGGTCCCCCCCCCCACCCCCACCGTGGTGACACGTTTGATGTGTGTTTCTTAACATGTCTGCAAATAAAACCGTTTCCCAGCTTCTTCCTGCTGAACGAGGAGCCTAAAAACGTGATTCTTGCTGGAGTCAGTATTTTGAATTCAGGATTGCGCACTAGTCTATTGGGCTGTAGATGATTTTTGTTTTCTTTCGTGGTACCTAACCTCCCAATGCATTGATTTGGTTCTCCTTTATTATAACTTTATGGTTATTTTCAAACAATCTGCCATATTTTATCATACCAAAGTAAAAAAAAAAAAAAAAAAAGGAAAAAGTACAGAATGAAATATGGGGGTTTGGGATGGGGTGGTTGGTTGGGGGGGCGGTGACAAAATCAAAAAACCTTTATTGTTCACTATATATAATAGCCATTTGGATAACACGGCAAAATGAAAGTAATTTTACTCTTAACTTGCATAGCGCTTGTACTGGGGTAGGGAATCAATGTCCAAGTATCATTCATTATTTTTATTCTCAATTGGTAATCAAATTATTATTTGATTTCATTTTAAAATCCTCCAGTCTTAACAATATTGCGTAATTGCCTACATTATGATATAGATGATGATCATTCTGATGGATTGTGCTCCAACCTAACATGGGCATGATATACTGTATTTCAAGAGCAACTTATGAGTTTTTAACTTCTTTAACCAAAAGAAAACCTGTCTGACACAATGAAATCAGCCAAAAGATCTCAAAAATCTGCAAAACAAATGCCATGGTTCAAAGAAATTCAAGAACATGCGAGTAAAAGTCACTGAAATCTGTCAGTCTAGAAACGGTTACAAAGCCACACCCAAGGATTTAGGACTGCGGTGAATGACAATGAGAGCCATTACGCACAAATGGAGAAAACATGGAACAGCGGAGACCAGTCGGCCAAAAAAAAAAACACTCCCAATAGCAAAGCGAAGGCTCGCCCAGATCATCAAAAGAATCCAGGACAACATCAACTACTGATTCTAGGTCTCTGTCACCTCAGTGAAGGTCAATTTTTATGACTCAATACTAAGGCAGAGAGTAGGTGAAAATGACATCAATGGCAGCGTTCCCAGAAGTAAACCACTGCTGACCATGGGGGGGGGGGGATGATTGTCTTACTTTTGCCCTAAAAACAAACACACACAATTCCCAAGACTTTTGGGGAGAATAGAGACAAAAAGAACTTATTGGAAATGTGTGTCTTGTTCTGCACCAAACACAGCATCATACCAGAGTGGCAGTGTGATGGTATGGGGCTGCTCAACTAATTCAGGACCTGGATGACTTGCTGCGATTGATGGAACCATGAATTCTGTTGTTTACCAGAAAATCCTGAGGGACAATGTTTGGCCATCAATTTATGACCTTAGGCTGAAACACAATCGGATTCTGAAGGAGGACAGTGAGACAAAACACACCAGCAAGTCAAATTCTGAATGCCTTACAGGTGGTTTAAAAGTAATTCTATAAGGAAGAGTGGGTCAAAATATCTCCATGGATGTGAAATACTCATTAACAGTTTTAGAAAACACTTGATTTCAGTTGGTGCTGCTGAGGGTGGCCCAAGAGGTTAGGATATTGGTGTATACAGGCGCTCCCCGCTTTACGAACTTTCGTGTTGCGAACAACGGTACATACGAACATTTTTGCGGGTACAGGTATGTCGAAAAATGTTCTCGGACAGAGATGCTGTCAGTCAGATTTTGTATCCACACACACACACACACACACACACACACACACACACACACACACACACACACACACACACACATTTAAAAACTGCATTTAATGTTCACTTAGGTTGTCTTTGTCTGAAAATCTTCAACAATTAAGTGGGGAAATTATGGGGGGGAAAATAATTAAGAGTTAAAATACTTTTTCAAGGGCACTGTATTTAATCTGCACAAATCTTGTATTTTTAAAAGATTCAAATGATATAATTCTGCAACTGGGCTTAGTGTGCTCCCTGTTGGTTTGAAGGCAACACTACAATAGAAATGTTATGAGAACCTTCAAAACAAGAAAAAAAAAACCTAACAGGTTGTGAGGGTAAATATGGTAAACACAAATCTTGAAAAACAGGAGTAAGTAACCAAATAGCTCAATACTCCAACAAAACTGAAAACAATTCTCCAAACAAATACTGAAATTTAAATACAGTACTTCTCCATTTTTTTACAACACTCAAAACATAGAATTTTTAAAGGTGCGTGCGTGTGTGTAATAAACCTCTTAAAGTGCTCCAAGTATAAGAATCACAACAAATAACCAGGAATAAAAGTGTTTTGTGAATTTATTGAATTCTAAAAGGAATAATTAAAAAGGGAAGAAAAGCAATGTTGTATTCACTGTGTAATACAGGATTCAAGGGCTTCCGGTGGCTGAGAGGCGCACCCATCCGGGTTGGCATCTGTAAAAACAGCGAAAAAGGCAGTCATTAATAACTGGTGTTCATGAACCAATCCCAAAGTGTTGTACCTGCTGAAATTACACCACTTTACAATTTCTGGAAAAATTGTGCTGATAACACCTCCAGTGTGTTTGTTTCACAACTTGGAGCCACCATCTGATCAATTGTTGTCTTTCAAATTGTTTGACACTTCAAACCAGGGGTGTCCAAACAGAAGAGAAGGATTTAAGGGCCATTTCAGGCTTCTTCATCTTTCATTTATTGATTACGCACGGTAATAAAAAATAAATAAATAAATCCAGTGGAGGTAAAGTTACTGTATCCTAAGCAATTGTTGTTTTGTGTGTATTAGACTTCACATTTAACATCTCTGCTACATCACAGCTTTGCAGAAATTAATCTCTACATCCATCCATCCATTTTCTAATCCGTTTTATCCTCACAAAGGTCACGGGCGTGCCGGAGCCTATCCCAGCTGTCTTTGGGCAGTAGGCGGGGGACACCCTGAAACGGCTGCCAGCCAATCGCAGGGCACACCGAGACGAACAACTATTCGCGCGCACACTCACACCTAGGGACTATTTAGACTAGAGTGTTCCAGTAACCTGCCGCACATTTTTTGGGGAATGTGGGAGGAAACCGGAGTACCCAGAGAAAACCCACACAGGCACAGGAAGGGCAGAATCGAACCCTGCACCTCTGCACTTGTGACGGCAACACGCTGCTGATCAGTCGACGGACTGCTGGAATCTCCACATTCAGAACCAAAACAAGGGAAATCTTTACGATAATGCTGATCTTCAAAAGAGTGTTCACTGTTTTGAAAGTAAGAAGTACAATACAGGCAAACTTGACACAAGCAGAGTGTATTTTTTTATATCTGCAACGGGCCTTTAAAAAACAGCTGATTACGGATGGAAGATTTTGGACACCCTGAGCTTATGAAGAGGACATCACTGGTGTTGAGCCGCAACCTCGTACTGCATGACACAATGCGTCAGTGCAGTCAAATGTAAATAGTTATTGTAAAAGTAATGGCCGAAGTCACATTTTCACAAAATATTTTGCTTTAAACATCTCATGATGCTGAATACTGCCGCTAAAAATCGGCTTTATGGTTAGTTGAAGAGGTCATTCAATTCCACACCTGAAATGAAATTATAAATGACTATAATCAGAATTCGGTTCGATTTTTGTGCTTGGGGGGGGAATAACTTGAGCCATTAATTTTAGGAACGTGACCAAATGTTAATTAACTCATTCACTCCCAGCCATTTTCACTGGAGCAACTGCCTCAATCCCAGCGTTTTATTGGATTTTGACTGATCTTGCAAGGCCCACAGAATATTTGGTTCTAATGCTATATAAACATTGAGCCTACCAAAATAAAGTTTGGACTCTCTTCTTTCGGCAGAAAAAAAATCTTTTTCCATTCTTCAGCAATTGGCATTAAAAAATGGCTAAGTTTCAAGAAAATGGCGATTACTGGGCAAAAAAAAAAAACGGAGAAAAATAGCTTTTTGTAAAAGCATACATTTCAAGCACATGAGGCACCACTGCCACCTACTGGTCGCCTTTTTACATGATTTACAATGCAAACGGCTTATTCTCATTCACAGATTGCATTAGACACTCCTCCTCTCTATGATGCAAAAAAAAGACTTGGACTCCTTGGTAGGCGGGGCCTAATTTTAAAAAGACTACAAGTACGTCTTGTGGAATGAAAGAGTTAACAGCCAAAATGTGACTGACCACAGTTAGACCATTGCGAGACTAATAAAGGTTTTCTTACTTGTCTTTGCATTTGTCCCATCGAGAACATGGGAAAGCTCTGACAAAGACAAACAGCCTTATTATGACATAGCTACACATCAACTGCCCTACAACATGGGATTTGATCAGGGAGTTTACCTGCACTGATTCCAAGGTTGGAGTTATCGAAGAACATTTTGGGAAATGTTCCAGGAAGCAGATTAGCGCCTTTGTCAAAAAATTTGCTTTTTGGAGAGTCGAGCAGTGGCACTTTTGGTGACTCCAACAGCTTGATTGGGGAGTCAAGGACCTTCTGGGAAGCAACTACGAACTTCTTTGGTGACTGAGGCAAGAAGTCGGAGCACACGGCAAGTCCCTGTTTGGTGGGAGTACATGGCGGTGACGGTTTGACATCCACTTTGGCCTTTGACTTCATCTTGAGCGCTCTGTTCTTCCATTTGATCAGGTCAGCCTGCTGGCTAGAAATCACGCTGGGGGTGGAGCAGAACAGAACATGTCAAGAGGAAATCTAACTGAAGCGGCGCCACTCATTCTATGTGTTCGTCTTACTTTTCAAGATGCGTGATTTTAATCTGAAGCTGTTTGACTTCCTCCGCCA